TATCCACTTTTCTCAAAACTACGTCGCCAAGTATAAAATAATTGATGTATAAGTTAGCTCGTCGATTTCTTCTTTTGTTCTTTTGAAAAATCAACGAGAAAGTTGCCATCAATGACTTTTTAAACTTTTTGTTGAACCAAAATTCCTCTCATTTTTGGTTGCCAGACTGAAAAGTAACATTTTTCCGTTAAAATTTCCCAAATCAAAATTATGTGTTGTCATTTTTAATATTTAATAAAAAATACAAGATCACAATTAAGCTACACAAAGTAAACCTAGGGTCACAAATATACACTGTTTTAGATTTTCAGGATTTCGTAAGATTCTCGATCTTAGATCAATGGAATGTTCAAATGGGTGAGGTTTAGGTATTCTAATAACTTAACAGTGCAACAAGAGATATGTCAACCAAAACAGTTTCACAAATAGAATATAACAAAGATAGTTTGCTATAATTTATCAAATAAACAATTTACTCACGTAACAACTAAAGGCAAGTAGTTCCTAATTTCTAGCATAAACAAATGTTACCTTATAGGTAATCCCAATCTTATTTTCACTCCACACGATAATGCGCTAGTGCTAAAAATTAAAATGGATAAGCCAATTTACCAGAACGGACCTATTTGAGTCTATAAATTATGAGAAATATGATTTTAACACCTTACGGCCACCACTATTCGCCCTAAATTCTCTCGCAACCAATCGAATGAAAAATGAATCAATAATGTGTTAAATCTGAAAAATGTGTTGAATTGGAAGAACATGTCTCTACATGAACACTTATTTGTAGAATCTGAGGAAGAGATCACCTGAACAGTAAATAGAAGCGAATGGTAAGGCAATCGAGACAAGCCTTACATAAAAATCTAAACAAAAAGATAAGAAAGAGTTTGGCCCGTCTACTTGGCATGCTCGGGAAGACTCTACTCAGACAGCCAGACTCGCTTGTTTCACATGATGCAATGCGATCGAGCTATGTCTCAATGAAAAAACAAAAGATGCATTTATTTTCTCAACCGAGGGATCACATCAAACAGGTTGAATGAAATTTCTCTATGAAAAACAAGAAAGCGCAAACAAGTAAACTACGAGAAACAAGTCCAAGGGTCAATTTGGCATAACTTTTGCTTTTGCTTTTTGTAGAAGAACTTTCTGGTAAAGCTATCTTAATTTTTGTTTGAAAACTAATTTTTAAAAGAGTTTCTTATTCTCGAAGTGTTTTTAGAGAAAGTCACATTTGACTATCTTTCTCTAAAATCTCTTATAATTAGAAAAAAATGCTTTCATAAAATTAGTCAAATGGGTCTAAAAGCCCGTTTTTAAATCTCACGAGCTTTCTTTG